TATAAATATTTGTTCTCCCAATTTTATAACTGTGAAATATCTAAGTTTAAACCACTTTCTTCTTTCTTTGTATTTTTACATTATTTTTTTATTTTGATAGAAGTATCATTTATTGTAGGTATTCCTGTAAACCATGCAAAGGCTTTTGGCCGCATTGCATTTGCTGCTCCTGGGGGTAGTCTTCTTGGAACTGAAGAAAAGATGAAAGAAGCAGGTCAGAAAATCATCACACCTTATGTATCTTTGGATACTCCAGGGAAAGCAACAGTACAAGTTGTAATTCTTGCAGATCCTGTAAGTATTACAGTTTTCAATCTTGACAGAGTACCAAATCAGGAACATTGTTTATTTTCTATTAGATATAATGTTTTTTTTTTTTTCTTTTTCATATAGAGGATTTTGTAGATGAGACCCTGTTTTCCAATTAGACTTTGAATTTGTTTTTTACAGTTTTGTAAAATTGCTCTTGGTACTGTAGCCATGACCCACAACCAGCACAACTCACACTCAGTATACTTTGCAAGTTGGATCATGCCACATCCAACAACCATGTCTTCATTGGTCACCAGCAGGCACATTTTGCGACTCACTGCTGAATCCTGACTGGTTGACACCGGACAACTCCTAATGGCTCATGGATTTGACTGCTCAAGCGGACACCCCTTGTTTCTGACACAGCTCATGGCCTAATTAAGGTATTGGATTCAGAATGGAGAACATGCATCACACTCCAGACACACCTCACCTTAGCAGAAGTAACATGTGACAGCCTGCCAGCCTGACAGCCTGTCTTTTGCCACCTTGGGAACTTCCGCAGCTTCATCTACAGAACCCAACCATTACAGTAGGAACCAACACCCACGCAATTACTCTGTAAAGAGATAAGATTGGTTATTTAGTAGAAATTCCCTATCTACTACAATGGTCAACCTGGAGTGAAATGTTAGGCATATCACATGCTCAGCGTACTCACTTTAGGGAGAGTACCTGTAACAGCCACAACCTGCAACTGGCACAACAAATGTTCCGCAGATTGGTCATGCCAGGTCCATTAACTATGTCCTTATTGGTCACCAGGAGGCGCACCTCACAACTCACTGCCGACTCCTGACTGGTTGACACCAAATACCTTCGGCTCTCTAGTTCAATCACTCAAGCAGGCTTCCATCGTTTGATTTCCTGACTCAGCTCCAGGATTAATTAACCCGTTCTATATGGTGACACTGGTGTAGGTGTCACGGAGTCCCAGTTTGATATACTGTGATGCCAATATTGGTGACTTCATATATTGCCCTAGAAATTCTATAGCTCCACCAACCATGCCCTTTCCCACCAATCACATAAATCAGCTGGACTATGCCCCACCCTCTACCCAAAATGAGAAGCTATCATTGGAAGTGTTTACATCACAGTTTCCCCCTCTGTGGTCCTACCCTTGTCCTCCATATCCCCCTATCCTTTACTTCACCATTTATCCCTCCACCAGGGTGAGAGACAGACAGACAGACAGAGAAAGAGAGAGAGAGAGAGAGAGAGAGAGATAGAAATACAGAGAGAGAGATAAAAATACAGAGAGAGAGATAGAAATACAGAGAGAGAGATAGAAATACAGAGAGAGAGATAGAAATACAGAGAGAGAGATAGAAATACAGAGAGAGAGATAGAAATACAGAGAGAGAGATAGAAATACAGAGAGAGAGATAGAAATACAGAGAGAGAGATAGAAATACAGAGAGAGAGATAGAAATACAGAGAGAGAGATAGAAATACAGAGAGAGAGATAGAAATACAGAGAGAGAGATAGAAATACAGAGAGAGAGATAGAAATACAGAGAGAGAGATAGAAATACAGAGAGAGAGAGAGAAATACAGAGAGAGAGAGAGAAATACAGAGAGAGAGAGAGAAATACAGAGAGAGAGATAGAAATACAGAGAGAGAGATAGAAATACAGAGAGAGAGATAGAAATACAGAGAGAGAGATAGAAATACAGAGAGAGAGATAGAAATACAGAGAGAGAGATAGAAATACAGAGAGAGAG